TCATTTGATGGATGATTATGATAGATTTGGACCTCGATAATTGTAGTACGTTTTCGTTTGAAAACTACATGAAAGTATTAAAGAGTATGATTAGAAAACCTCATAAACCATTGGAGCAGGTTATAATACGATATAAAAAAGGAGAAAAATCAACCAGTAATTTAAAAAAAAAATGTAATATTATAAACAATAATGAAGGATTATTATTAGGACCACATAACAAGGGACCTCTGATAAATAATTTAGTGACGGATTCACAGTTTAGTACATTAATTTTGGGAAATTACAAATTAAAAACCAATGTGGACGCAGACTCATATTTTTGTACAATTAATAATGAAATTGTTAAATTAATTAATATTGCACATTCTACAAACACTGGAAATATAGTTTTAATTGGCAGGAAATTCAAGGAAAAATCAGATTTTTATGTAAATCCTATTAAATCATCACATTTAGGAATTTTTTCTGTTAAACATTTGTCTAAAAATTTAATGTGCTGGAATGTTAAAGATATTAAAAAAAAGTTATGATTTTATTTTACAAAAATGAACAGATTGTTGTACCCCTTTTGCATGAAATTTGGAAATTAAACATTTATTTTAAATTAAATTTTCCAATTTTTGTTTGTTTTAGTAACATGTATATATTTAATAATTCTTAGTTAGGTATATTTATAAACTTATTCATTTTTTTAAATTTAAATTTTGTATGTGTAAATATATTAGGTAAATGTTTAGTAACTAAAGGTAAATATAAGTATGAAGATAAGAAAATATGTGAATTGTATGATTTTTGGTTGGTGATTCAAAATATAATAGGTACCTATTTTTTTCATTGTAATATTAAATGAACTTTTTTTTATAAATAAATAACCATAATAATGTATTAAATTAAATATGTATAACTGCAGATGCTTATTGCAGTAATAACACATTATAGCTATATTGTATACAATAAACAAAATATACTAAAATTACTATTATTACTGATAACACTATAACAGTTAGAACCACGCTTTTAAATACTTTTAATAACTACATTTTTTCAGTTTGTATAAATATGTGGTCAATAGTATTATTTGAAAATGAAAATACTGTCGAAGTCGTTCCAACACACTGGGTTAAAAATAATGTTTGTGCCTGGCCCAAAAAATTGTAAAAAAAAATGTTGAACGCAGAGTATTAGCCAACAAATTTGATTTCAACTATTTTGTATCAAGAACGTTAAAGAAAAATATTGGTAAATTGGCTATTATTATTTTTACTAACATATTATAATTTATTATATTTCATACTTATTATTAGTTATTCAGTTTAATAATTATTACTGTCATTAAAATAAAAAAAGTCATTATTCTAAATATATTGCATTTCTAAATATATATAATAATTCCTAATTTTAATTATTATTTTTTAGCTACTCTAACAGAAGCTAGAGCGAAACTGAAATAGGCCGAGTATACTTCAGACTTATCTACTTGTGATGATGAGATTTCAAAATCTCGTGCAAGGCAAATCAAAAGTAACAGATCCGCCAATTTATTCCTATAACAGAAGTATGTTTAAAATTGACTACTTATTTAATTTATTTAATTTGTTAGTTTAAGTTGTTACAGTATATTTAGGTTATGCTTTACAACAGAGCATTTGAATATTGTAATTATAAATTCAATACATTCTTTTTTACACATCAGAACCTATAAAATAAAAATATGATTGTATTGAAATAATACTTCATTTATTTACACAATTTGTGTACATTTTGGAAATTATGAATTATGATAAACATCTTATACATTATACAGGTGTTTCACCCAAATCTAATGGTACAAAAAAGGATACTCATGAAACTACATCACATAGTCACAGCTTAGGTCATTTAACATTTAAAGAAAAGAAAAATTCTAATAGTATTAATCATTCATCTCCTAGTCAATTAGGTATATATTGTAATTAAAAATTATATTATGTTTATGTGCATACTCATTATTTATTATAAATGTTATAGATGTTGAAAGCAAGCAAGGTCATAAAAATAAATATGAATCAAACAGTAAAAATGCAAGTTACAGTTTACCTTTTAATGCAAAAGGAAAACTATTTGATAGAAACTCATCTCCTTCATCTCCTAGCCAATTAGGTATATATTGTAATTAAAAATTATATGTTAATGTACATACACATTATTTATTATAAATGTTATAGATGTTGATAGCGAGCAAGGACATAAAAATAAATATGAATCAAACAGTAAAAATGCAAGTTACAGTTTACCATTGAACACGACACTTTTAAAAGCAAAAAGAAAGCTTTTTGATAGAAACTCATTCAGTCCTATTACAGGTATTTTAGAAAATTCAAATGAAACATTATTTTACTTGTAAAAAGATATATTTTAGTTTTACTCTGTGAAATTATTTAATTTAATTGTATTTAATCTTTATATTAATTATTGCATTACCTCGAGAGCATAATATTAATACATTAAATAGACATGATCATGAGTCTGATGTAAATAATTTGTCCGTGTCAGTAACTTCTATCAAAGGTAAATATAAGTATAAAATTATAGTTTATTTAGTTTGTTTAATTCACTTCTACAATATTCAAAAAACACATTTCTATTGATTATTGTTTGATTATCAGGTTCAAAAATTACACGTGAAAAACATAATTTGCTTAACATATCTCGGAGTGAATCTGAAACATCAAGTCCAAAAATTGGTAAATTGAAATAATTTTTAAAATAAAACTGAAATTTTAATTGTGATATTTATAGGCACAAATTATTTTTATACTAATAATGTATGTGTTATATTTTTATATAGTATATGAGTCTAAAAGAGCCCCCAGTACTGGAATTATCCACACGTCGTCATCTCCTTTTAAAGTTTCCGAAGCTAATTTACAAGATGATTCAAGTGATTACCCGAATTATGAATTACTGGACTTGGCTGGTAATAAAAATTAGTTATTAATACAATATTATTTTTATTTATAACATATAATGTTAACTTCTATTTTTTTGTTATTTAAAATTAAGTTAAAGTTGTTTAAATTTGTTTATAGGTGTCAATTTACTGCAGTCATCGTTTAAAAAGGTGTCTAGTAATACACAAAACACACTCAAATTAAAAAATAACTGCTTATCACAAACTTCTGAATCAAATGGTAAGGTCAACAATGGTCTATACTTAAAGTATATTAACTTCTGTGTGATAAATCTTATATTTAAAGAGCATCATATATCGTGTTTGTTTCAGATATAATGAATACAATTTTAAGAGTTGTGTTAAAAATGAAATACGATGTAGAGACAATTGCACAAAATCAATTTCAGATAGACAAAACATTAACTGAAACTGTGCTTCGAGCAAATAAAGATAATGAAAATACTTCTGAAGAATTATTTGAATATGATTCATTACTACCTATTGAAAATGAAGATCAATTAGATGAATTTGAGACAAAGTTGTTAAACAAACATTTTAGAAGGAATGTTGTTAGTAATTTTGCAGATTTAAAAATAGAGTTACCACGCACAGAACCACTGATTATAAATGTTGACAATTGACAATTATCTTGTTTATCTAAAATCTACTATTTATAATCAATGTGTATAATATTATATTGTTATGGGTAGACTTGTAGCTTGTTAGTTGTTTATTTATTTCTCAGTTGTCAGTTGGTTGTTCATACATAAATGTATAAAAGTGATTACTTCCTAGTGTTACTACCTACTGGCTTACTGCTTGCAGCAAAATCGTCGGTTTACTACAGTATGTACCATTAAATGACTCTAGTTCACCAAATTCACCATCACAATTCGCATCGTCCATGATTATAGAATTATGTAATTTGCAAATATCTTCTTTTTATTAATGTTCAATTAATTATTTATATAAAGTAGGTACCTAATACGGCTAATACCTATATAATTATTAATTATATATTATATAGTATGTACTTCCGTACCTTGTATACAACTTCCGTGATCAATCGTCACTCACAACTCATAAGCAGTAAGCCAGTAGGTAGTAACACTAGGAAGTAATCACTTTTATACATTTATGTATGAACAACCAACTGACAACTGAGAAATAAATAAACAACTAACAAGCTACAAGTCTACCCATAACAATATAATATTAAATATTAATAATATTATACACATTGATTATAAATGGTAGATTTTAGATAAACAAGATAATTGTCAATTGTCAACATTTATAATCGGTGGTTCTGTGCGTGGTAACTCTATTTTTAAATCTTTATCGGTAAACGTATTATTATTAATTACGTAACGATTTATTTTATAGTCATAACAACTTGCATGTGGGCCGGAGGGGCTAGTACTAACTACTATTATAATTTTATAAAATATTTTCGTTTTTTCGGCACACATTTTTTTTATTATTAAAAAAATCCGGGTGCCGGGTTTATTAAGCCGGGTACCGTGTATATTCCAGGGTAAAAATGTAGCTTTACACCGGGTACCGGGTACTGTCCAAGTCATCTTTTAATAATTCGCCGGGTAACGAGTATTAGTCGGGTACTGAATATGATATCGGGTACCCGGTTTGGACTCGATAACCGGGTACCCGGAACACCTCTACTACATACATAATATACATAAAATAAACCAATTAAATTAGTAAAAAACATACATTCTTTGACATTTGATTGACCATCAGATTCTGTAACTTCTTTCTGAACTACATTTGTATTTGTATTTGAATTTATAATATTTGGATTAGTTTGATTAGTTTCTTCTACAGAATTATGTAAATATCACGTGTGTGAATAAACTATTAACATTATCGTTTTTGGTAGGCGCGGATCCAGAAAATTTTGACAGGGGGTGCTCAAAAAAAAAAACAAAAATTGTTACACCTTTCTATTTATTTAAATTAATATTTTCTATTTGATTTATTAGTGCTAACTTTTTTTCATACATCAGTATTTATTAAATATAAACTTAAAAATAACAATAATTTCTTACATATATTGTAACTGTAATTTTCTTAAATGTTTTTTACTGAATTCTTCAATAACTTCCTCTGGAGTAATTTTAATATCCCTATGAATATTAAGAAGCATAAGTCCATTTAATCTATCCTCTCCTATTGTTGATCTCAAATATGTTTTTGTTCGTCGAAGTGAGGAAAATGTTCTTTCTGCACTGCAAGTTGTAACTGGTATAACGCAAATAATTTTTAGCAATTCCTTTATATTAGGGTAAAATTCAGATGCATGAGTCAAAGCTTCTATAGCAGTTTTAGGTTTATCTAATTGGGATTTCCAAAATTGTTTCCACAAAGTAACTTCACCTCTAACCTCTTCAATCGAGCCAATTAGATCATCGATATAAAATTTGGCCGATTCAATAATTTTTTCGATATCTGTATCTTCACGTAGGAAAAATGGTATTAAGTATTGTAAATACATAATCGTTTCATGTCCGTGACCTATAAATCTATTTTTGATATTTGATATTAAATAATCCAAAATTGGTAGGTATAAGGTCAAACGAAAATATTCTTTTGGGTCGTTGGTCAATATATTTTCGCGATTAATTTGTTTTGAACACGTTCGAGGTTTTTTAACTTCTATCTTATGTATATCGGCTAATGTTAATGATTTGGTATAAATCAAGTTAAAACTTTGATTTTGCAGTTGCTTTGAGAGGCAAAGTAATTGAAAATAATTCTGCCAAAACTTGAAGTGTAATTAAAAATTCAAATTTCAACATAGAATTTAGTAAATTGTTAGCTTTACTAGAAGTGAGCGCAATTTCCTCATTAGAGTTTACAAGTTCATCCAAGCAATTTATAATAACATCGTATAATTCAAGAAATTGAAGAATTGCATCGTGTCGTTCGATCCAGCGTGTTTCACATACAGATTTAAGTCTAAATGATTTAGAATTTGGTAAAACTTTCATTAATGTAGTTTTTAAAAGTAACATTCGTTTTGGTGATGCTCGGAAAAAAGTTATGATCTCTTGTAAGTTACCAACAACATTCCGGATCAAAACTACAGACCACGCTTTTGATATACTTAAATTTAAACAATGTGAAGCACAATGTGTATACAGGGTGTCTCAAACAGTATTGACATATGGAATAACTTTTTTGGTATTCGATATTTTTTTTTTTTATTTGTAGACGCTTGCGCTACATGTTTGATATAAAAAAATATTTTTTACTTTTTTAATTCTGAAAATAAAAAATTTTAAATTTTATAAAAAATGTATTTGAAAAATTCAAAATAGCCAATTTATAAAGCCGATTTTTAGAAAAATTTTGATGGTTAAAATATTTATAAAAGTGTTGCCGTTAATTTTCTACAAATTATTTAGTTTTTGGAAATATGAACAATTTTTTCCTTTATCATACCAAAATAATCACGACCGAACACCAACGATTACAAAATAAACAATCACGCGAATACGTGTAAGGTGCGCGGTGCGCAGTTTATTTACAGAAAACAATTATGTACTACAAACAGGTGAAAAAGATCGAGTCGATCGGCGCTCGGGGGTTGAACGGTGTTGTCACGTGTGCTTACGGTTTCCGACACACGGGTCGGGATTCTGCCGCGTTGAGTGTGGGTACGCCGTGTGTTCGTCGCGGAGTGCGTGCTACGGTCGCGTACGCGAGAGAGACCTGTGGTCGCGTCGCGGGATACGGAAGACGGCAGCACGTGCACGCGGACGGCGAAGATGGCGGCTTCTTGTGTGGATCGTGCGAGCGCGTTGTTAGAGCGTGATCGTTAGCGACGTACTTTTAGTTTCGCGGTTACCGGCGGAGAGAGCGTTGGCAGCCGCCCGACGCTTCGCGGTCGCGAACGACGCGGAGGGCCGAGCGGTGCTGCCAACACTGGGAGCGCGACCGACATGGGGAGGGAGCATCTGGTGAACACTGGTTCGCCACAATATCATTGATGACAATCACAAAATACCTGTTATTAAAATGGCTTATAAAGTTATAGTACTTTTATTATTTTTTCCTCTGATTTTCGTCAGTATTAGCAATCAGTATAGTTGAATCATTTGAGTTCTAATAAATAAATAATTATATTATTAATAACTGTTATTATTTTAGTAAGCTTGTTATTATTATTCAAAAATTCTCGTTATTGTGTTATCAATGTACCCACCAATTCACCATTCATCATTTTAACGTCCATCAAATTTGAGGATTTGTTTCATGTGTCCAAACACTGGAGTGCTTGAAACTGTGAATGCATTATAGATTATTCATGACAAATTTGTCATGGGATTATTTATGTATTACTCACCAAAACAAAATCAAGTTGAACAGTATCTTACAATGCAAGAGTGACACAAATGTTAAAATCGGTCACATACAGAATAAGGTATCATGTCCACATCCATATGTGGCTTAACTACAGAATATTTGCAAAATATATTCCACGTGGTTTCAAGAAATGTTCCACAAATTAAATTGATATACATTTCTAAGAAATTAATCACCATCACGGCATCACTTACAAAAACAAAATTAGTTAAACGAAGTTACCACACTATTGGAGAGTGGAGACGTAAGTATACATAATAGTTATTTTTTTCGGTGGTTTTACGATAGGATGTCTGCAATTTAAATTATTTTGACAATAACATCAACAAACTATTTATGGGTACTGTTACATGCGGCCCTTCAGGGATCCAAAAGCTGGTGTACTTGATAAATAATAATAGTCAATTAGAATGGTAATCAAATGTATTATATTAAACCAGACAAAACAAGCAGAATAATAGTGTTGATTGTAGTGAATTTGTAGCTCGTTCCGAAGTTGATAATCTCCGTGTAAGTCGTGTGTGATGGCTGGGCGGCTAAGCGAGTCGTGTGGTGTTCTCGTCTCTGGATACATCTAACTCAGGCTGTCTCGCTGTCCCCTATATATATGGTGGCGGCGTCCTTTGAAAGTGAGCGGCGCGTGTACAGTCGCCCTTGATATGGACCTCACGATTATGAAAGTGGTATTCGTAGTCGAAAACACTTTTGGGTGTGGTCGCATTCCTGGTTGTTATTATGAGCAAAATATATGGTATTGCGTAATCCCATTACACCTCCCTACCAAAAAAAGATTGTTAACCTTTAAGGGTTAAGAATCTTTAACATTGTTAATTAATAGTTTACAATGGCTGAATTACATTGTTTACATTGACATTTAAATTTTGTATACAGTTTACAATTTGATTATAGTATTACATTTGATTACAATAATGTGAGCATTTTACAATTTTTAATGTCATCATTATTATTATTATTGTTTTTTTTTTCTTTTATTCATATTACAATTTTAATTGTGGTTAGTAAAATAAATTAATACATGATTTAATTAAACAAATAGTGTTAATAAAAATGATTAATAATCTTTAATAAAATAATATAGGTACCTGAAATTATAACATTATAAGCGTTACGTAAGTATACAATTTAAATATTTCCCCTTTTTATATAATAATAATATTTATCTTCCACCTATATACTAATTTATGTGAATAATTGTTAAATTTGTCACAGACATATGCAACTATAGATTTACTTAAGGTAATTCATTATGTAATTGGATATATAATAAATGTTAATTTATTGTTTAATTTATTTTGTGTTATATTTATTTATTGACTAATAATTATTATTTATTTTGCCTTAAAATTCCTTTTATATTTTTTTGCTAATTTATATAATTTAATGGGCTTTATCTTTGTTACTATGTAATTGAATAGGCATTTCGTTAAGATTACGTCTGCAACTGGATCGTGACAATGTGTAATATTATGATTAATATCGCATGCTAGTTCATGAGCTTCTGATAGTCCTAACATTCTACCATTTTTATTTAATTTACCTAAATAACCTGAATATAAAACTTCCTTAGTCTCTAGGTTTGATAATTCTAATACAAATTCGTCATTATTCCTAACGCTAATTGCCGATATATTTAAATATGCTAAAATTCCTGTTAATCTTAAACGCTTAATTATCGTGATATCTGTCGTTCCGTTCCAAAATACTATTAGTGGCTCCCTATCGTTTATATGCAAATATCTTTGCAAGTATACCGTAGACAAGGTTGATTCCCCCTGCCGACTTATACTGTTGTACAACTGTTCCAGCAATGGTTCAATCACTCTTGCCTTTTTCCCTCGGAATACTCGTTTGATATTCTGCACTGTTTTCTTTAGGTCGCATCGGCGGAATCTTCTTAACTTATCATCCTTTGTAAGTATAAGAGGACTCCCCTCCAATTTCTTGGGTTGGTATTTTTCTAAACTATTCGATATCGCGCCGGATACCAGTATCGTTTCGTTCTTACTGACGGTAAAGAACTCGAAATCCATTATAAAAAAACGTACCTGTGAGCTAAAATAAAATAATTATTTTTCTAAAAAAACTTAAATTGGTTTTTTTTTGTATTTATTACTATGTATATGATATATGATATATGATACATGATATATGATATTTGATATATGATATAGTTTCCTGAGGTTATTCTTCGAAAATCGTTTCAATGATTTCTCGTCGTCTGATTAGTTGTTCTATCAGTAAACCCAACTCTACACACATTGGTCGATTATGATTTGGTCTTAAGATAACTGTGCGTACAAAATCGTTAACATGGATCATGACCCGTGCTAAGAAATTCGGCCTGAAAGGTATGGTCATATTACTATTTGCCCTTCTTATATGTTCTGGGAAGCAATGTAATCTGATTACTTCCCCTTGAGTTATTTGTGTATGATTGGTTGATTCAATTAATTCGTTTTTTAATTCTCTGAGAAACTCAAATGTTTGTAGTTGCATTCGAACGGTTCGTGCTACAGGTGGTATGTTCTCACCCATTTTGTACTTAAAATTTTTACGTTTGTTTTTATATATATTTTTGTTTTCTTCTTAATTTCTGAAATAGTTAAAAGTTATTGTTATATAAGTATTATTTAGAATATTATTTACGTATATGTATATATTATTATATTTTTTATGCACGTAATATTATTTTATTTAAATTATAGGATATTATTTTACGTATTAATTCCTTATGCACGTATTATATTTTATTATTATTTTTATTTTATATTTTGTTTTGTTTAATTTATTTATCGAATATGTTCTTCACTGTAAATTTGGTGTTGAATATAATATTGATCTAATATTTCTGCGATTTTTAAACACATTGAATTACAGGCTGGTTCGCGGTTACATCTAGTACAAAAGAAGGCTGTTAACGGACCCATAACGTTTTCAAGTTCAGTTTCGTTAAAAGGTATTTGCATATTATTATTTGCGTCTATTACGTGTTGTCTAAAACAACGTACATATATTGTGTTCCTTAGTACCAATTGATCATGTGTATCATTTATTAACCTATCCCTTAGTTCCTTATAAAAAACATTAGGCTCAGGCATTGGTGTGGGTTCGCTCATGTTTATATATTTTATTATATTTATTTCGTAATCCTTCTTGATTGTTTCCTGAAACATAATTATATATATATATAGTGTTCCTTTAATAGTTTACATATACCTAGCTCTTATTTATTTATTAAATTAATTGTTTACCTCTATTTTAATTATTATTATTTCTATATTATTACTATTTTTCTAACTTATATTTTATTATTTTTTTTTTATTTATTGTTATTATTTATTTTATTAATTAATTTATTTTATTATCTTGGTGAAGGGGGTGGAGTAAAGGGTGTCTCTTCATAATTTCGTATGTAGTCATTTCTATTGGGTGCCCTATATCTAACTATTCTGCCGGGAAATTCCATGACTTCTGTGGACCTGATATACTTGCATTTTATCATTATGTAAATTGCTATTATTAGTATAATAGATATTATTGCCAGTACTATTGTTACATATAGTAAATTACTGTGTACAAATTGATGCTTTTGATTTTGTTC